TTTACCATTAATCCATAAGGTAATTGAACATGTACGTCGAACCCGAGTCTCCTGAGAATTTGCATTTCTGCCATCACCAACGCTTCTTTCATTTCGTAAAACTTCTGAGAAAACAAACAATAAACCAAAATTATATTCTCCCGTAGTATAACGTCCACGTAAAGAAAATAACGTGAATTTGATTTAGCTTACCGAGCCAAAGCATTCCAAGGGCTCCATGGGTAGATCATGATATCGTCTTATCAGGTAATAATAAACATTTATCAAATCGCGTATTTTGCACGGAGATTCTTGAATCTTTGACGCGAGGAACAGAGCACCCATACCTATATCCTAAGAGTTGGTTAGCAATATTTATTTCGAACTATTACTAGACGATTGAAAATAAAACAATTAAACAAATTACCCTAATTGAAAATTTTCTCAACGAAGCAACGTAAAAAAACCGCTGAAAAAGAACTTGAGCCGTCGCCATCGCTACCTGTGGTCTTATTATCAAAAATTAACGAGAATAAACGTGCACGCGAGCAGATAACTTTAAAGTACTCACAATCGTAAGAGAATCCCAGCAGACTGTATTAGCTCACAACCAAGTCTTCGCAAATTGTCTTCAAGTTCTTCGGGAATTAAATCTATGTTTGAAGGTGTGGTTTCGAGTTGTTCATAAGTTGTAATGGCATTTTGAAGAGATAATCTTAACATTTCTATATTCTAATGAAATAGGAAAGGAGATCGGAATTTTGCACTTTTAATACGTACCAAAAACACGTGCGAGAATGCATATTTCTGTTACATAATCCAAGAATTATTCTACCCGGGCAACTTGGGTAACCCATAACTATTATAATATAATGCGTATAGTACTGTATATCGAATATTTAAAGATTTAAAGATCAAACCTTTATTTATATTTAAATAATTCATAATTATTAAAATTTAATTAAAAAAATTTATTTTTAAGCAGGTAAATACTATTAAAAGATAAATATTTAGAAAGAAACAATCTCTTATATATTAAATATAAATATGAAAAATCAATTGAAAGATATTATTTAATCAAAGGTAAAAATCAATAAATTTATAATTTGATTAATTTTAGTTTTTGTAAAAAAATATTTAAAGATAAACTATTGTATATTTGATCAAAATAAAATTTGTATTTATTAGAATATTACTTATATATTGCTAAAAAAAAATTTCAATTGATAATATAATTTAATAACTTTACTATTATAGTTTTTGAAAAATAGTTAAATTTCATTTCACCATATGTATAATTTCAGATATTAAATTTATTTCAAATATAATTAACTTATTATATTTGTTATTATAAAAGTTTTTGATAAACTTATTTAATAGAAAATTATTTGAAAATTAAAAAAAAATAATGAAATTGATTAAATAATTTAACGTAAACAACAAATTTACTAATAGTTTAATATATTGTATTTAAGAGTGATTTGCTTTTTGATTACAAAATTTCATTGAATTGATTAATAATTAATTTATCTAAATTTTGTTATAAACTATAAATTTTATAATAAAATCAATTTACAATATTAATGAATCCAATAATTTCTTGATAAACTCTTATATCCAAAAAACTCAAACTTTCTAGTATTTTCTAAAATCTTGAATCCATGAGTCAAATATTATAAGGCATTTTATATAAAATCATGAACCATAAAAATAATAAAATTTGATAATTTTAAATTGAATTATAATTTAAGAAAATTGAATATCAAATCAAAGCTAATTCTAATGATTCAATATATTATACTTTTTGAAGAAAGAATATTGTATTATGACATTAATTTTCATTTGTATTTTTGCTAACATAATATATAAAATTATCAGAATTTATTATTTAATGTTATATATTTTACATTCATAAATTAGTGCCAATGATATACGTATTTTATTTTCTGTATAAATTACAGTAAATAGATAGCATTTGCCCGATCCTCTTCGACCCCGAAAATCATACCTAGAATTTGTTCGCTTTAAAATAGTCTATGTAAAATAGGATACAATTATGCTCTATTTTTAAAAATATCTTCTGATTAAAATATTTTATTGTTAAAAAATTTGATATATTAATTTTGTCTCATTTATATAATATCTCTAATTAATACGATACCCATAATAAATCCCTATGAACAAAATCATGCCTAATGAAATTAATTATTTATTTAATGTAATGAATCGAAGTTATTTAAGGCATTTACACAAATAGACTCGGATTTATGAAAAAAACAAGTCAAATATCAGTAATAATGGTATTTGAATGTAATTCACACAAATTTAAATTAAAATTAGACATCAACGTATTGATACTTTCCATTGACACTAAGTATGCTTATTAGATTTTGATGAACTTCTACTTGGAAAGGTTCAAATGGTACCTTTTCACCATCGATGCTAATATATCCCGTTTCGCGATTTTTAGGTGTTAAACGGAAGGCTTCAACTTTATAATAATTAATCTAAGGTATGGAAGAATCAGCGTATTGTAGTGTTAATTAATTAAGGTGTTTCTTATTTGAGACATACAAACGTCACAGATTCAAGCTTACCTCATCCATGTTAAAATGGGTGCCACGTTCTATTTTTAGAAATGCGGATAAAATTTTCAAATTTGATACGCCCTCCCGTTTTATGAGCATTAAATCTAACATCCCATCCCTGGGTAACGCGCAGGGGAACGGTATATTCCCTTTACTAACCCACGGAACCTTGCCACTGAAGAAAACGGCTAAGTCATCATGAGTCAGGATTTCCCAATCTTCTGGGATTGGATCATTCACTGTCCCGTACTTTCTAACTATTTCTCTATTATTGGTCACATTATTCCCGATATTTTGTTCCGCGTATGCTTTCTTATATGATTCTTTGATTACGTCTTTGTTTTTTTCGGAAAACTTCACCGCTATCTCGCAACCATATCGACGGTTTTCCAATAAGGATCGGAATATGCCAATTGCGAAACGAGCGTCGCCAAGCCATCTGAAACGTAAAATAATCTTATTATATATCCATCAATTATACCTGATATCAACCGAGCATTGTTACCTCATGTTTTCTGTTTCTATATCGCAATCTGCAATCATACCATATGTTTGCGATAGAAAAGAAAAGAAGCTATCGTTTCCTTGAGTTACGGAACAAACATCGATATCCATAGGTACACCTAAAGTTTTTATCGGTCGGAAATTAACGATTGATCATATTTTTCATTGAACATAAATCTGGAGAATATGATTCTTACCTTTGATTACGGTGAGTGCCGAGTGCTGCACGTTGGTACCGGTGGCTTCACCGTGCAAACAGATGTTTAACGCGTTTCCAGTTCCTAAAGAATTGTTAATTTTAATGGAGAAAAAATGTTGACCAAAGGAAATCATCAGCAAAAGTTCGGTAGTACCTGCAGGAATAACTCCAATTGGAATTTTAATATCTTTCGCGTCTTTTCGGGATAGAAGTCCATTGATTATTTCAAAGATGATTCCATCACCACTTACTGCAACTATTACATCATACTTTTCGAGTTCAGGAGCCTCAGTAATTTTTTCTTTCGCGTCATCTTTA